CTGACCTCATTTCTTGTAACGACGCATTGAAGGTTTTTGCCCAGCTCACAGATGGCACCACGTTCATAGACGTCATGAAGGTATAGGTGTCAACAAGACAGTCCTCGGGACAAACAACGTCTGGTTTCACATGGGTCATGTTGAATGTTTCTGAAGTAAATTTAATTTCAACATAACTTTAAATGTGCGTGTGCTGTATGCTTTTACGTTGTTTTCTTTTTCACTGTGAGTAAAAATAATCAAATATATAGTAACAACGAATAATGCTAATATCAACAAAACATGTGTATCAATATAATTTCACAGATAAATTACCATGAATACAAAAATTTATTCGCAATAATGAACATTATTCCGACTTACGGATTTTTGGTTTGCAGCAGGTAAAGTATTTACCGATGTCACATTTCTGACGACCGTCTGCAATAAATATAATAATTATAATAAATATAATAAATATAATAATCTAATAAATATAATAATATAATAATCTAATAAATATAATAATATACATAATAATAATGCTTTCATGCGTTGCGATAGCTAGCATGCGTATGGTTAAGTTTAGGTTTACTGCTTGGGGGGAGTTCAGAAAATGACATCAACAATAGACTATATTATTCTACCAATAGATGTGAAATAGGAGCGTCACCTCTTAGAATGCGAGCTCTGAAGCTGCAGTTACAGAAACTTTCAATGTGGTCCATCTTTGCAAAAATTTCGCAATGAGATCTGCTATACGGAGCGGCTCTGTTAGATTTATCACGGTACACCGGCGCTCTAGTGCAAGCCGGATCGTTGGGAGTTCCTTGCAAGTACAACTGAAAATAAATACAACCGGAGTCGTTCGTTAAACACAAAAGCAAAGATAAAGAAAAACGCGAATAAAAAAATCCAAGATGGAAAATTCCTACAACAACAACAACAACAACAACAACAACAACAACAACAACAACAACAACAACAACAACAAAGACAACAACAACCAACGACAACAACAACAAACAACTGCAAGCGTGGAGACCGACTCACCCTCTTGTAGGTCAATCCGATGGTAGTGCTGAACCCTGGAGCGATATTAAAGAAGGCGGAGTCTCCAATCGCTATATTGACGTGCGGCGAATGCACAGAAACCTGCAGCTCACACAAAGACAAATAACACCACGGTTAATTGTTACTGTGGCACACGCGCACACGCGCGCACACGCGCGCACACGCACACATACACGGGGTGTGCCACGCACAACATACACACACTCACACACGCGCGCCCCGTACACACACATACACGCACACATGCGCCCGCACCTACACACACCACAACACACACACACACACCACACACACCACGACCACACACACACACGCACACGACCACACGCCACACCGCACGGGCGCGCGCGCGCACACATTGCCACAACACAACACCACACACCGCGCGCGCACACGCGCGCACACGCACACATACACCACCACGCATACCCACTCACACACTACACACACGCACACATGACACACAACGCAACACATACCACACGCATCACATACGCACACATAAACACACGCACCATACACACACGCATCGCATACACATACGCACACATACACACACGGTACACACATACAACACGCACACATACACGCACGCACATATACACACACGCACACGGCGCAACGTATCACACACATACACGCACACCGCGCACATACAACACACGCACACACACACAAACACACCAGCACACACACACAGACACACACGAGTCATGCGCACACACACACACACACAACACACAGCACACACACACCACAGCACCACCACACATATATATATTATAATATATATATCAGGAGTAGATAATAGGGAAGAAGTGTGACTTCAATAAACAAGGGAAATTCGTCATTTACTAGCCTTATAATACCTACGATTTAATACGCGTAACTTATCCAACTTGAGCTCAAGTCGCACACAGTGCATTCGCCTAGCATCGTGCGAAATCGTTTCCTCGTATACACCCGCAATCCGGAGATACATACTAAAACGTACGACACGATTTTCCATTCTGTTGCCAGCAAACTCGATGCGTTCAGGGCCGAATTTGAAACAAAAGGCAGCTACTAACCACAGCTTGCTCTCTCGGCCAGGCGGTGTGGCTCGCAGGGAGATCGGACATCGACGCAACACTCGGCGAGATAACCTTTGACGCGGCATACAGCTACACACCGGCATACCGGCATACAGCTGGTATACCCCCCCCCCACGCACGCATGTTCACCGCAATCAGCAGCAGCTCCAGCTCTAATCTCCCTGCGAGCCACACCGCCTGGCCGAGAGAGCAAGCTGTGGTTAGTAGCTGCCTTTTGTTTCAAATTCGGCGCTGCATGAACGCCTCGAGTTTACCGGCAACAGAATGGAAAATCGTGTCGTACGTTTTAGTCTGTATCTCCGGATTGCGGGTGTATACGAGGAAACGATTTCGCACGATGCTAGGCGAATGCACTGTGTACGATTTGAGCTCAAGTTGGTTGAGTTACGCGTAGTAAATCGTAGGTATTATAAGGCTAGTAACTGACGAATTTCCCTTGTTTATTAAAGTCACACTCCTTCCCTATTATCTACTTCTGATATTATAATTTATATTATAATTATCATATTCAATTCATTATATTATATTTGCCATTTGTTTATTTCACTACGAACGAGATACTCACGGTGAAACCGACCATGTCGCCCTTGTAACCGTAGAAGTATTCGTCTGCGTCGGCCCACAGCACCATGGTGAGTCCGTGATCGCTAGTCGTCTGCGACGAGTACAGCGGCGGTCGCGGATCCCATCCGTCGTGATCCTGTGTTTTGGGAACGGAAACCTGGGAGTTGAAGACATAACAATGACCGTAGAGGCGGGTGATGTGGCGGAGACTACCCATGCAGCTTCTCCCGTCGAAGTGACATCCGATGACGGATCCGGCGCCTTCGTCCTTCTCGCTCAGGGCCGTCAGCTCGTTCATCGTCAGGTGAGAGAGGTTGTAGTCGGCGGCGGGAAAATTCTCGCCCGCCGCCAACCCGTGTCGCCATCTGTAGGTGGTGTAGTCGTTGAGGAATCGCTCCAGTTCTTCGTACTGCGGTAGCTTATGCGACGTGGAGCGTTTTACTAAGTTGTTATTGCAGATGGTGACGGCGGGAAATTCGAGTCCGCCCGGGTCGTATTTCACGTCGACGATGGTCTTCTTCGGGTGGGTGGACAGGTAGGTGACGCGACTGTAGGTGAGGTAGAGCAGGTAGGACCAGGATGAGAGGATGGCGACGATCCAGCCGAGTCTGAGCAGCAGCGGCAGGCGGCTGTCGAACACCCAGTGAACACCGTGCAGAGTTGTCTGCTCTGCCTTGCTCGACATCTCGTCTGCTAGTGTGCGACGCCGACGACGACGACACGGGAACACAACGTCCTTCCCGTGCAGAAAAACAGCAATCGATGAACGGACGTCACGCCAATAAAACAGGATCGATTTCTGACAATCTATAGCCGGTTTTCTGTTGTCTCATTGATGTCTGTTTCCACGATGTATTCTTTGTCACATTATGAGGAATAATAACAGAGAAAGCACTGCTCGTTTGTACCTCTACATGTGTATCTATGTATCTATATGTGTGTACCTATGTATCTATGTGTGTACCTATGCATCTATGTGTCTATCTGTGTATGAATGTATCAATGTGACCAAATAAACATCGCAGCACTCGTGATGTGCGTGTGGGTGTAACGTGGCGTGATTGGTAATGGATGATAAATATCACCATGATGGGACATTGTCCTACTCTGCATCCCGACCCCCGCATCCTCCTCCTCCTTCTGACCCACGCTTTTCATGTCCAACACCCCCCCGTGTGCGCATATAGACTAGATAAATAGTTAGCCGCACTGGACAGGATAAATATCGGTACCGTTCTGCTGCTGCTGATGGTGATGATGCTGCTGTTGCTGCTGCTGCTGCTGCCGCTGCCGCTGCTGATGATAATGATGCTGCTGCTGCTGCTGATGATGCTGATGCTGTTGCTGTTGTTATTGCTGTTGTTGTTGTTGTTGTTGTTGTTGTTGCTGCTACTGCTACTGCTGATACTGTTGTTATTGCTGTTGCTGTTGTTGTTGTTGTTGTTGTTGTTGTTGCTGCTGCTACTGATTATACTGTTGTTGTTGTTGCTGCTGCTGTTGCTGCTAATGCTGCTGCTGCTGCTGCTGTTTCATCTGTAGCTGTGATTTACCCACACAGGTGAACAACTATTGATCAGAGGAAAACTATTATCTGGGCCTGTACCCACTGCTCCTAGACCAATACCCATCGTCCATAGATTAATACTCACTCTGGCTACAATAATACCCTGCATAGCTAGACGAATACTAACTATATATGCCTAGACTAATTCTACCTGGGCTAATGGCGGTCCACGGTGAAATGGCATCAACAACATAATATATTATCTATCACATTAATTTATTTTGCTATAAATGCGCCTTGCACGAGCTACATGTACAGTCGACATCCTAACAACATAATCGTGTCACGTACTCTAAGTGCGTATATTGCTTTGGTTCCACTCTGCACATGTTTTCGTCATACGCCCTAATGACAATGGAGGTGGAATTTTGTGGTCCCTTTGACACCTCTCTTGGCTTCTACTACCATAGTACTCTTTAACACAGGCGCCTATACTCCCTAGGTGTTTGCTGTGCGTTTTTATTAAGCTACAATTCATCTACGAATTCAACGTCACTCCCCACCACCATCAAATGTCGTCGCCATCAGCAAATGACGTCACCACCAGCAAATAACGTCACCACCAGCAAATTACGTCACCACCAGCAAATTACGTCACTGTCTTTCCCGAGCGCAGCATAGCGGAAACGTACCACGCATAAACACAACTGTCCGAATCA